ATGTACCAAACAATGGCAGTGTGTTGTGGTTGTCTGCATCATGTTGTGAATATCATCTACAGCAATGTGTTCACTGATATCCAAACATTGTACATAGTTTTTATTACAATCAGGATGTTCTATAATATACTATCATTGCAAAATAATAGCAGTTACTTATATATTTCAAAATTTTTAAGTGATGCTGTGGACACAAGCTGAGCAGCAGTCCTGTTAACTCATGCTGCATGTCCCAGCCTTGGTTATTCACTCAGTACTAAGGCCTTCACACTCAGGAATGGACTCCATGATTTGTTTTCAAAATGGCCTCTGTTTACTGGGGGCCTCAGGAAGCTTATGCGAGCCCTATGTACTCGCAGGAGTTTTTAAATTTTAGGACGATCCAAACACTTCACCTGAAGTGAAGTCTGAACATAATTAGCCACCCCATCACCTGATGGAATGTGCAGCAGAATGGATAATACACAATACACAATAATCATAACTAAAAAATATTCAGAATGATAACATTGCTGTGGATTAAAATAGAGTCCAGAAGTTTATTATACAACATATATCTTGCCAAACACACGACGAAACTATGACTTTGCTACAAAATTCAAACAAGTTCTAACACCTTCTAACACTTTGTAACAAATTTCTAACACATCATAAAAACATAACAACAAGATGTAACAACTTTGTAATAAGATAACAATGGGGACTGTTACATTGTGTGTTTGCAAGGATGGTTCTTCTAAAAAGTAAATCTAAGTTTGGTACCTTATCTAAAGCTTCACCTGGAGCATCATCAACGGTTTGACCAATAATTGACCAATGGTCAAGAGAGTGGGCAATCACTATCAAGCAATGACCTCCAGATAGCAACAGTACCAAGAAAGGAAATTCAACCTGTAAAAGATAAACACATATTACTGTTGAGTACTATATAGGGATTGCAAAAAAACCAGCATTGAATGTAATGAAACGCCATTTTCTGGGTGAGACCCGGAGGCTCCCCGGAGCTTTACCAGGCTGATATGCGAATGTCAGACTTTGGCATCAGTCATGTGTATGGAGTTCTAGGGCCTACCAGGGACCACAGCCAGAACCTGGCTCCCTCAGAGAGGCAAGGGGAGCAATGGCCTATATAAACCCCTGTGTGGTTGGAAGCATTCTATGTCTGCCATCGACCGGGTCAAGCATCCAGAAAGGTAAGTATTCCAAAACAAACCCCTATTCTGGTTAAAATTGCTACCAAAAGCCGAACTAGTGGATAGAACTCCCTAACAGAAAACAAGCAAACTAGTATGACGTCACACTTCACCGTGCCGCTGTCTGCGCAGCTCCCCCCTCCCCAGGAGGGGGAAGGGGGAGCCCCAGACCTTTCACGCCGGCTATCCACCCATCAGTTCTGAGGCTGGATGTCAAAACACGCGAAAAACCGCCGACCGGAAGGAGGGAGGGTTGCCAGGGAGCCTCCGGGTCTCACCCAGAATATGGCGTTTCATTACATTCAACGCTGGTTTTCTGGGGGGAGCCCCGTCGGCTCCCCGGAGCTAACTACCCACAGATGAAGGTCAAAGGGAAGGAACTGGGAGGCAGACACCACGCACCCCTCAACGGAAGCAAGACAACCAGCAGCCAATGCCAACCCAAGGCGGCACAGCCTGAAAAAGGGCCTGGGAACAACATGAGACAACGAGCAGCAAGGCCCCTGTACGAACACCAAAGATCAGTGCCCGAATGACAGCATTCACGCTGCGTAGACGGCAGCAAGAGCTGCGAAGCCACGAACGCCACGGGCATGGGGATAGAACACAGGCAGGCTAACCGCAAGAACACGGCTGACAACCCGGGACACCGTCACCTGCGAACAGGGAAGAACGGAACCAGATCAACTCAAAGCACGCCCTGGATATAAAGACCGTGGCACACAAAGAACAACGGAGTGCCACCACTGAACACAAAACACGACACCCCGCTGGCCCGACCAACCAAGCACCAACAACTCAAGGACCCCTCCGGAATGCAGCAGCCCCAACCCGTACCAGAAAAGATGGAGACTGCTGCCACCGAACAACCAAAACGCCAAAACCGAAGGAACAGGAAAACCCCAGCGGAGGAGCAAGAAGCCCTGCAACCCGACCCCCCAGAGGTAAATGCCAACAGGAAAAAGAGCCAACGAAAAAATAAACCGGAACTGAAGGGGCACCACCAACCGAGGAGAAGACAGAGCACGCTGACCAGAGACCAGGACGGTGCAAGCGGCGCACGAACAGGCTGGAGGTGAAACAATGCACGAGACAGCTAACCAACAGTGCAGAAGCAACACCAAGACCGAAAGCAAGCCGAAGCAGCTCCGCCAGCACTGCACGAAACGAGGCAACAGTACGTGGCAAGACGACGGCCCCCAACCCCCACCAGAAAAACCAAGCCGACGCTAACAACTGCAGCCACCTAAGAAGGGACAGGAGGAAAAGGAAGGACCGCCAAAATACCCCATACTGCCGCCAAGAAGAAGTACGCAGGTGGGACACCTACTACGAAGCCACCAGACCACCAACCGAAGGTGAGACACGCGAGGCAGAACGTAAGCAGCCCCGACAAGGCCCCTCCGAACCCAGGCAAAGGTGGAGCCGCAGGAAGATCTCAGGCGTAACCACCAAAGCCCAGGAGGCACAAAGGAAATGGAACGTCTGCCGAGCAGAAAGCTCCCCAATGCAAGCAAGCCCGCCAGGAGATCAGAAACGATGGGTCCGACGCGAGACATCGCAAGACCCTGAAAAACCAACCGGCAGGGCAAGCCAGGAAAGCCGAAGAAGGCGTAAGGGTTGCCACCAGAACAGTACCCGAACCAAGGGGTACGAGCAATGAAAACAGACCAAGACACAGAAGTGCACCATAGGACACAGGTGGAAATAACGCCCAAGAAGCCAAAGAACGCACGAAGAACACCCCTGCGGTAGAGGAGGAAACAAAGGGAATGCACAAGGAAGGGAAGCGGTAGAAACCGACCCCCCTTCCCTATAGCAGCAAGAGCAGGCAAAACCGACCAAAGGAGATGCCAGGGAAGTGACTGGGGAAAAGCAGGATGAAAGAGCCAAAGTTCAAACCCCAGGAAACAACCAGGGGTGGACAATCAGGCAGGGACAGAACCCCATGCACATGGAAGGGCCAAGCTAGGGACCCGAAGATCGCGAAAAATAACAAACAAACCCTCAGACGCAAACCCGAGGCACAAAACAGCAGCAAAGTGCCACACCACGACCGGACACAGGAACTAGGACATGCCACCGCGAAACACGTTACCAACGCACACGTGCAGCAGCAACATGCACCACCGCAACACGCAACATGTACGTAGCAACTTGCCTCTGCAAAGGCAGAGAACAGTGCAGGCAGACCCCAGAGAGGGCCAACGGAGACACGACAGAACCCAGCAGGCCCAGGAACTTGCACACCCGGCGACCGACGGCAGAGATACCAGCCCGATACCTGCTGGATGGGGTTCAAGGAGTTCATTTACTCCCCAAGCCCGGCCCGAGGCTAGGCTTGACATGTGAGAGGTTGGCCTACCAGGCTGTTGCTTGGAGCGGCCCGCAGGCCCACATACCCACCACAGCCAGGATGGGCCGGAACCTCTATCCGAAAACAGGCTAGTGTTCCTTGGAAGTCCACGGAAGTACTGGCAATACGGCAGATGCTCGCAGGTAGGACCAACCACAGACCTCTGATGGTTATACAATGTTCCCCAATTGTGCCTATGGCACCACTGCACTCCGCTGATACTATCCCGCAAGTTCTTCCATATAGGCGGGACCCAAGAGCCAGAGCTCAAAACCCCGCAAGCACAACCAGGAGAGCCCTACCAGGTGAGTACATAACCAGCACCACAACCCACACACCTCATAACACGAAAGAGGTGGGTCCCCTGAATGACTCTAGCATGGGTTGGACATGCACAAGAGTGGGACTGGAAGGGTTGAAAAGGGACAGTCATCGGTGTGCTAATGGTCTCATTCGTACATAAATATACCTAAATAAAGACAGGTATGTAAACATCTTCACATCCAGCGCCTGGCCAAAAGACGCCAGACAGCAGAAACTCACCTGTCGAACGGAGGCACGAACGTGACACGACTCAACAATGCCCAAAAGATCCTGGGAGCACCGCCAGGTGAAGAAGCCAGAACCGGACACGCAGGAGAGCAGGGTAGAGGCGAAGGAGGAGGCCCACACCCATGACACAGGGTGTGTCATGGTGTGGGCCTTATCACTAAGGATTACAAACCTTAGTTTGTAATCCTTAGTGATAGATTTCTATCTCGAACCGCCCCTAGATCTCTTTCTTTATCAGAATTCTTTAAAGATTTCTCAGAATTTATAGTTTGTGTGGGGTCTATGTTCTCCTATTCCACATTCCAAAACATGACATTTATTCACATTAAATTCCATTTGCCAAATGGTGCTCCATGCACTTATTTTGCATAGGATGCAATGTGTGTAGGATTCAAAGACCCTAATTGTGAAAACAGACAAAAACTTATTTGAAAGTATGGTCTCCTGCTGCTGAATAACATGTAACACAGTAAGGAAGTATGAGATGCAAGGAGGTGGGAATGTGTTGTGATTATTGTTGCAGCCTGATGGCAGTTGGTGGAGGTATCCAAATAAGTGAGCCGGTAATTAACCAGTTTACTTTCTTAGTGGTCACCTGTGTTATCAAGGACCGGAAGACTGTTGTGCTCTAAGCTTTATGAATAAACTGCTTTCAATCATTCTTGCTGGACTTATCATTGTGTCCAGAGGACACAACAGATCTTGCTTTATAGAATACCAGAATGAGTCAATTCAGAGCAGAGAATAACTGACAAAAGCAAAACATCCTAAGATATCATTTGCAACCAAGTTTACTGGCATTAGGTAGGTGTGTAAAAAGTTTGGTTCAGTTATAGTTAAATGTTTATAAAATCTGACACTAGAATAGCTTAACAATAGAAACATTTGCATCATCATACATAAGAGCTTAAAGTTTCAAGTCAGTATGTAAAAAACCAGCGTTGAATGTAATGAAACACCATTTTCTGGGTGGGACCTGGAGGCTTTCCGGAGCTATACCAGGCTGATGTGTATATATTAGACCGTGGCAACAGTCAATTGATGGACTTCTAGGCCTGCCGGGGACCAGAGCCAGAACCTGGGCCCCCAGAGAAACATGAGGAGCAATGGCCTAACGACACCCCTGTGTAATTGGGAGCAGTCTATGTCTGCCATCTACCAGGTCAGGCACCCAGAAAGGTAGGAATTCCAAAACAAACTACAGCTAGTTAAAAATTGTAAACTGAAAGCTGAACTAGCAAGCAGAACCCCACAATTGAAAACAAGCAAACAAGCATGACATCACCACAGCCGCCGTGGTGACGTCATGCTTGTTTTTGCTTGTGCCTCACTTGTTGAAGGCATTTGGCTTGCCTGCGATGCCTCACTTGTTGAAGGCGCTTGCTTGTGCCTCACTTGTTGAAGGCACTTGGCTTGCCTGTGATGCCTCACTTGTTGAAGGCATTTGGCTTGCCTGTGACGCCTCACTTGTTGAAGGCATTTGGCTTGCCTGTGATGCCTCACTGGTTGAGGTGTATAACACGTAACTTGTCTTTCATTGTTAGGACAACCTTCTTCCTCTTAACACCTCCAGAACGATTGATGCTGCTACCAGACATAGTCTTGGCCAAAAATGTTCAAAGTTACTATAAAAATAAAAAACTTATTTAAAAAAAAATTTCACTAATGGAGTGACACTATGGTATAACATGAGGGACGGGAACACATGGGTTGACCAGTGTTGGACGGGTCCACTTGGGGCAGCTATAGTATGTTACGTAGGCCGCCAGGAGGAAAAAACTCACAATATTTTTTAAGGAAACCTCAGCCTGTGCACATTGTTTTTAGGAAACGTGTATATTTGTTATTACATATAGTAATTACTAGTATTTCTTTTATTTTTGGCTATGATGAATTGTTCTAAAATTAATAGTAATTCCTGTACCCAGGTGGTCTCTTCCACCCTCCCGACACCACCCACCCACCCTACCCCCTCCTCCACCATGCGCCTCGAGCCAGCCAGCCACAGCCAGACGGGATTAATACGGTACGGCTCACCCCATGGCTTTCATATGCGGACAATTCAATGATTATCCGGCTGACTGTCTGGATAGTGTAACATTGGCAGCAAGTTAACCGGCTCCGATTTTTTATCCGGCTAAACCATGGCCATTTTGGCCAGATATTATGATAACTTTATCTGGTCACGATTTTGGCCATATAAGGCCGTTTTCCGGATGTTTGAATCCCGGATAATTGAGTGGTTACAGTACTTACAGAGCACCTAGGAAAGGTGGCCTTAGGTGCATGCAGCCCCAGTACTCTTTGTGTTACTCCTGGCTTTCACACCACCACACAGAAGAACAACACTACTATGCACAGCACTGCTCAAAAGGTTGGAGCCAGAGTCGATCAACCACCACCAAACACAACAGCCCTTTGAACTGGGGTTGAGTAGCTGGCACGGGAGGTCTGGAACTTCATCCCCTCCCTTTCCCCTCCTGGGAAGGGGGGAGTTGCACAGACAGCAGCGAGGTGGCTGTGGTGATGTCATGTTTGTTTGCTTGTTTTCGATTGGGAGGTCTGCTTGCTAGTTCGGCCTTTCGGTTTGCAGTTTTTAACCAGCTGTAGTTTGTTTCAGAATTCCTACCTTTCTGGGTGCCTTATCTGGTAGATGGCAGACATAGACTGCTGCCAATTACACGGGTGTGTCTATAGACCATTGCTCCTCATGTCTCTCTGAGGAGCAATAAGGCCTATCAGCCCGTAGGGCCTAGAACTCCATCGATTGACTGTTGCCACGGTCTAATATCTGCCTGGTATAGCTCTGGGGAGCCGAAGGGGCTCTCCACAGAAATATCACACACATCACAAAATTACAGAAAAAACAAGACAACAAAATCTTGTGAAAATAAAAGCACTGTACTTAAAACCCTACCTTGTGGACCATACGAATAGTAAGAGCATGAGCTTCCATGTGATGTATGGGAATGAAAGGTTTCCCAGCATATAAAGCAAGATGTTTTCCATAATTAGTGCCTACAGACAGGGACAGGGCCAAACCTATAAATAAATGTTTTATATAGTACAGTATTGAAACTTTGTAATAATTAAGTAATACAGCATGACTGTAAGAAACAAGATTCAGCCTAAGCTAATTACACTAAACCTAAGCTATCTTGATAGACTATATTTTATGAAGAATATTAGATCAGGTTGGAATGTTCAGTTTGATCATTATTACAATATTACATTATAAAATATTACATATTTTCAAATTATTTTAGCTCCTTCTTAACAATAAAGAAGTATTATATAATTCCATCAAATTCATTGTAAATTCTGAGAAATATGTACAGCATTTAGAGCATAATTATACTTTGCATATTAAAAATTACCTGTATTTAAATGGAATACCAAATAATAAATATCAAGAATCACAATTGAAAAACATTCATCATTTCAAAAAGCAAAAACAACTAATACCTGGCTTAACAGTAGTAGCAATTGCATCCAAGTCTCCCACTGCTAATCCGGCCTTATCCAAAGCTTCACTGACAACTTTTTCAATATTTTGCCTATGCATTCTTTGTGCCAAAGGTGGAATAATGCCTCCATGTCTAGAAAAATATATAAACTTACTGTATTACCACCAGAAAGAGAGAATTGTATCTATAATGTCACCTAATCTTATAAGCACTGTCTTATCTTCAGATTAAAGAAATGCAGCATTACTCCTCTCTGCATTAATGTATACAAATCTGTGGAGAAAAATGGTGGGTTTTGAAACAATATGTATATATAATCAGACTTAACAATAATAGACAACACTGTTTGCATAAATAGATTAAACCCATCTTGGTCATATATTGTTTTAAATAAAATAACAAATAAATCATATCTGTATTATTTAAAGGACAGGAATAAATTAACAATTCAGATAGAACCCCGATAGCTCCCTGATAGCTCTATCTCGCTGAAATGACTCTCCACCACATGGTCACATCAGTCACAGGAATCCTGTTTAGACGACCAAGGCCAGAATCTGACCCCATCCTAACTAGAGGGGAGACGTCTGATATGGATGACCAATTTTCTAACTGACAGACAGATGAGGGCAGTAATGAAAGACAATGTACCTGACTGAAGGAGTGTTACTAGCACAGTAACACCGTTAGTAAGATACCGGGGAAGATAGGAGATGCAGACAATTGTAATGCCCTTCAAATTTATATAGATAAAATAAATGCTTGGAGCATTAAATGGCAAATGTAATTAAATGTGAATAAATGCCACATTAGGGAATGTGGAATCGGAGAAAATAGACCACACACAACTTACAAATTATGTGGAAAGGAATTACAGAACTCTAATAAAGAACAAAACCTAGGGTGGTTGTGGATAGTAAGTTGTTGCCACAGGGACACACAAAGAACATTGTGAAAGAGACACGAGCAAGAGGAATGTCAGATACACTAAATGTAAATCCGTGTCAAAATTATAAAATTGATTATTTGTTTAAATGTACAACAATTCCAATCTTAAAATTTGCATCTAACACGATCCCTTTTAAGACTGCATAAAAGAGCAGTCAAAATAGAAATGACATGTCTGATTCAACCAGAAATTTTATATACATATACTGTTTACCCCAAGCAACACATTTCTGCATGGAATAGTTCAATTTTTAAATCAAAATGTTGTGTTAACATATAACAGGAACATTAGCAACTTACCTCAAATGTATACTTTGTTGACTGAGTAATGCCTCCCCAAGCACTTCTCCTGAGTCATTTATGACTGCAGCACCTGTATCATCACAGCTTGTCTCAATTCCTAGTACCACCTGTTTAAAAAATAATGTTGCAATTTATATATATATTTTTATAGCAGGCATATTCAATACAATAAATAACAGTACCAAAATGCCTTGAGACCTAGAAATGTTAGTATTGTACAGTACAATAGAAAGTTTGGATAATAAAATGATTTGTCACATACACAGATAAAATTAACCTTTCCTAAGGTTTTAGTAAAATAAAATGATGTTAAAGTTACATTTATTCAATTTCCACAAGCACAATAGAACTTGAAACATTAATTTTTTTTTATCATACACTGTACTTTAATATTATCCCTCACAATTGATTTTTCTACTTCTTCTACTCCCCAAGCCCGGCCCGAGGCTAGGCTTGACTTGTGAGAGTTTGGTCCACCAGGCTGTTGCTTGGAGCGGCCCGCAGGCCCACATACCCACCACAGCCCAGTTGGTAGGGAATGTTTTTTAGAAAAGTCTTGTTTTCTCTTTAAGATGTCCACGGTTGTTCCGGCAATATTTCTTATAGTCGCTGGGAGGACGTTAAACAGCCACGGACCTCTGATGTTTATACAGTGTTCTTTGATTGTGCCTATGGCACCTCTGCTCTTCACTGGTTCCATTCTGCATTTTCTTCCATATTGTTCACTCTAGTACGTTGTTATTTTACTGTGTAGATTAGGGGCCTGGCCTTCCAGTATTTTCCATGTGTATATTATTTGATATCTCTCTCTTCTCCTTTCTAGTGAGTACATTTGGAGAGCTTTGAGATGATCCCAATAATTAATAATTAATAATAATTAAATTAATAATAATCTCTTCAATTGACTGTTGCCACGGTCTAATATATACACACATCAGCCTGGTATAGCTCCGGGGAGCTGAAGGGGCTCTCCACAGAAACTGGAATTTTAGAGGCCACTCAAAGTTGAAACTCTAGTTTCAGAGATAACTGAAGTTGAAGTTATCAACAATGAATAAAGGTAGTTTTAATTTGTTAATTTAACTGTATGTTTCAATAAACATTGTTTGACATTCGTACTCAAATATGTGAAAGTTGTAGGTCAATATGTGTTGAAATGAAATCAAGAAAAAAATACCCCCCAAAATATAGGAATAATTATAATAATTATAATGATTTAGAGGATATATTTCGGGTATACTTTATATACGTGAAAAAGCCCCAATATGGTCCCCTGATCATCAAACAACCTAAAGAGTTAAAGAAGATAGAGTTTGAAATCAGAGAAAAAATCAGGCCAAAAAAAAATTAAAAGTCCCAAGTTTTGTGAGTTGTGGTTGATTTATTTGTTGACCAATTTCATTCTATCTTCACATAGTTATGGAATCATATGCATTCTCCACGATGTAAAGGTTACAACAAAATCGGATAATAAACAAAGGAGAAAAAATCTTTAAAAAAATTTCCCCTTAAAAAAAATAATTTTGTGACACTAGTGAAAGTAGCATATATTAACATTGTATATAAATAAGTAAATACCTGTAAATACAAATAAATAAAATCCTTCATCATTCTACATTATCTCGGCTCTTTAAACAAGCCTAACAAAACTTTCTTGCCATTTCCTATCTTTATCTACCTTTACCTAACAAAAACAAGATAATAAGTTTGATTTTAACACATACTGTATGGTATGTGATGTCACCCTCGGATATTATTGCTCGTCAGCCAAGGATAATGGCATTCATTTTCTTTGTTTAATATATAATTTACTGTGTGTTGCTATAAACTGTACTGTTTAAGCTAAATAAAATACTGATTTACAGTATTAGGCAGTATTTACATACCTAATAAATACAGTACTTACAATTTCATACGAACCTGTTTGCCATATTTTGAGAGGGAAGTTGCCTGGGAAACCTCAGACACGTTCAGTTGTGATGCTCTGGTGTTACAATAATTGATTTGCAGTAAGCTGTGTGATGATTGGTGTATATGTGTTAAACAACGAAATATCGGGATTAACTGCTTCCTGGGCCTTTTTGACAAGGACCAAAAACACAATGAAGTGCAGATTCCCCCAGCTCGAATAAGATCTGCCATTGCTAGTATGTTTATAATCCGCAACGTTTTCATAATACTTAACCAGAAACGTTCTTTAATGATAACTATTATTTTATTTATTTATTTATTTATTTATTTATTTATATACAAGAAGGTACATTGGGCGTACAAAATAATGATGTTGATTTTTACATTCTTGTAATGCCACTAGTACCCACAGAGTTTCGGGCAATTCAATTTCTTTCTTTATTATGCACCCCATACCCATCTCGTGGGCGGGATGTATATTGAAATTGAAATTGAAATTGAAATAAGTTTATTGAGGTAAAATACACACAAAGGGATGAGGTAGCTCAAGCTATTCTCACCCCGTTCAGTACATCGTGTTAATACATACATAGACACACATCACAAACAATAAACATATTACCAAACATTCTGAGAGATAAACATATACATTTCCTGGCGGAGGCATTGTATCGCCGATATTATTTGTGTGAGGCAACTCCCACTGATGACGTCACAAGTTAGGTAGCCAGCCCATGTTTCTGTAACACTCGTTACATCCTGCAGTATTTAATTATCACTATATTAATACTTTTAAATACTTAACATTTCACTTTTTAGGTAGATTAAAGTTGAAGCAGAATGGCATAAGCAAGGATGGTGTGCTGAATAAAGATAATGCTATAATGCTTATAATGCTATAATGCTTATAATGCTAATAATGCTATATTCGGGCAGCGTTCCTGCCCGAAACGCTGCGCGTGCTAGTGGCTTTACAAGACTGTAATTACCATAATTGTATCCTCACATTCCTTATGTACATTCTTGTATATGCATAAATAAATAAATAAAAATAAATAAATAAATAATTTATTAAGTGGATGGAGCCTTTAGCTGATCCCTTCCTGTGATTGGCTGTTGCAGGGAATGCCAACACTCTTTTATGAATCAAATTTAAACTAAGAAATAGGCCCTTGTGCACAACAACAAAGTTGTTGTGAAAAGGAACAACAATTTCTGTTTTGCACCTGACAGAAATCTCCATTTAACTGAATAATTTACTCGAATAAGAGGGCAGAGCAGCGTATCATTATTTGTGACAAGGCAACCCCCAATAATAACATCTCACGTTAGGTAGCCAGCCCATTTTTATATAGCACTTGTTATATCCTGCAATATTTATTTATCACTTTATTAGCACTTTAAATAACTAACACCACTTTTTTGGGTAAATTAAAGTTAAAGCAGAATTCCATAAGCAAGGATGGTGTGCTGAATAAAGATGATTTATTAAGTGGATGGAGCCTTTAGCTGATCCCTTCCTGTGATTGGCTGTGGTGTGAATGTCAACAAAGAAGATCTACCAATGATATGCCATTTATTATGCACCTGATACCTCTTGTGGGCGGAGCTTGGAACCTCCTACCCGAGCACAACAACCCGCCTTATGGGTTGCTGTTTGGCTATTTATAGTGCGTTGGAAAAAAACTAGATGGCGTTAGTTGTTTTTCCAGGGTAATTTGTTATAAGTGTAATTTGATGTCAACAGATGGCGTAAGCTGTATCTTATGGCCACTGTTGACCAGCCAGTTGATAGTGTTCTCTTCTGCCGACAGATGGCATCAGCTGTGTTATTATTACTTCCGAATTCCCTTTAAACACTGATCTACAAATCCCTTGGCTTATGATAAGGTTTTATACCATTTATGTTAAGTATTAGATAACTGGAGCTCGGCAATTACTTTTATTTATCAACTGTTGAGAAATTGAAATTGAAATTGAAATTGAAATAAGTTTATTGAGGTAAAATACACACAAAGGGATGTATATGTATATATATATATATATATATATATATATATATATATATATATATATATATATATATATATATATATATATATATATATATATATATATATATATATGTCGTACCTAGTAGCCAGAACGCACTTCTCAGCCTACTATGCATGGCCCGATTTGCCTAATATGCCAAGTTTTCACGAAATAATTGTTTTTCGACTACCTAACCTACCTAACCTAACCTAACCTAACTTTTTTGGCTACCTAACCGAACCTAACCTATAGAGATAGGTTAGGTTAGGTTAGGTAGGGTTGGTTAGGTTCGGTCATATATCTACGTTAATATTAATTCCAATAACAAAAAATTGACCTCATACATAATGAAATGGGTAGCTTTATCATTTCATAAGAAAAAAATTAGAGAAAATATATTCATTCAGGAAAACTTGGCTTATTAGGCAAATCGGGCCTTGCATAGTAGGCTCAGAAGTGCGTTCTGGCTACTAGGTACGACATATATATATATATATATATATATACATACACATACATATCTAATCACCCACACTCACAAAGCTTCCTGGCAATACGTTAGTAATGAATAAATATGATATGTTAGATTAGGCTGACCTAACCTAACCTAACCGACGCTTGAATCGTCGACTTGATTTGGCGTCACCAGCTCTTTATTTTTGTCTAATTTCTTTATAAAAATATACTTTTTCAGATTAAAATTATGTTTTTTCATGTTGTACATTCAGCACCAACATTATAATGAGTAAATATATCATATTTATTCATTACTAACGTATTGCCAGGAAGCTTTGTGAAGCTTGTGTAGCTTGTGGTAGCTTGTGGTAATTAGACGGACCGCCATTGCCCATTGTCAGGACAACTGCTTAAGCTGGTTGGGAGAGGTACAGTGTAATATGATTGGAAAGGTCATTCCACATTCTGGGTCCCTTGATTTGCAAAGCATTTATTGTTTGATTAAGTCGTACTCTTGGAATATCAAATAGGTATTTGTTTCTGGTGTAGTGCTCATGGGTTCTGTTACAACCTTCTATGAAGCTTTTAAGGTCAGGATTGACATTACAGTTCAGCGTTTTATATATATAAAATACACGTCAGAGGATGTGCAGTGACTTAATATCTAACATATTCAGAAATTTGAGTAAGGGTACCGAGTGATGTCTGGGGCCAGAGTTAGATATTGTCCTAATAGCAGCTTTGTTTTGAGTAATTAGAGGACATAATGATTTTGGGTAGTAGAACTCCAAGCACAAATACCATAGTTGAGATAAGGATAGATGAGAGTAATAGAGTGTCACCAGGGCAGGGCGAGGTATATAATATCTGATCTTAGAAAGAATACCAGCAGTTTTTTAATCTTTTTTTGATATATTTAGAATGTGTCCCTGGAAATTCAGGTTGAGGTCAATGAGAATGCCAAGGAATTTGCCATCTACTTTGTTACAAATTTGGGTATTGTTAATCCTGAGATTTATTTGATTTGAGGATTTATTGCCAAACAAAATATAGAAAGTTTTGTCAATATTGAGGGTGAGTTTGTTGGCAGTTAGCCAGTGATGGACTTTATTTAGCTCAGTATTCACTGTGACATTTAGAGCAAGGGGGTCAGTACCGGAGTAAATGAAGGTCGTGTCGTCAGCAAATAGAATTAGTTTGAGATGTTGGGAGGCATTTGGAAGGTCATTAATGTAGATGAGATAGAGGAGAGGGCCAAGTATACTACCCTGGGGAACACCAATGTTGATGGGTAGGGTGCGAGAAATTGAATTATTCACAGAAACATATTGGAGCCTGTCAGTAAGGTAAGACTTAATGTACTGCAGGGAGTGACCTTTGACTCCATAATGTTGTAATTTAAGAAGAAGGTTTTGGTGGTCAACAGTGTCAAAAACCTTACGCAGGTCTACAAATAAACCAACAGCGAACTCATTTTTATCAAGAGCTGTATGTATCAAGTTAATCATACTAATAAGTGCATCATTAGTGCTTTTTTGGGGGGGGTCTGAAGCCATATTGACAAGAGCTAAGTCTATTGAGTTTGGCTAGATAAGACTAAAGCTGCTTATAGATTAGTTTTTCAAATATTTTTGACAAGTTTGGCAGAATTGATACAGGTCTGAAGTTATTAATATCAGTGGGATCACCACATTTGTGGACAGGGGTTACTCTTGCTTTTTTTAGAATATCTGAAAAGGTTTGGAGTTCAAGTTTATTTTTTATTTTTTTTTTATTTATAAATAAATAAATAAATATGTTTATTCAGGTAAGGTATATGCATACAAGTGATGTTACATTAATGGATTGATATATAGATAGAGCTAGTACATACAATGCCTAAAGCCACTATTACGCAATGCGTTTCGGGCAAGAAAAACATTAATATCTAGAACTTAATACTAATTGAGCATAAAGAATAAAAAGTGTTGAGAACAAATACAAATAAAGATAAAAAAAAAGGGGGAACATGACTGAAAAAGCAGCACAAATACAATAGGTTGACAAACAGTGTTGATTAAAAAAAAAGAAAATAACAGACATGGGTTGACAATAGAGGAGTGAGGTAGGTTACAGGGAATTTATTAGGTAGTGTTTAGTTTTTATTTATATATATACAAGAAGGTACATTGGGATTGTGAGGATACATAGCATAGTAATTACATTATTGTAAAGCCACTAGTATGCGCAGCGTTTCGGGCAGGTCCTTAATCTAAGAAACTTATAAGTAGGTAAATACTTGCAAAATTTATAAAAATGATAACAGTTACATAGCATGAAAAAATAAAAGATGAGAGAAAAATTGTAGGTATATTAAAGCACATAGGTAGCTCAGAATGATTGCAATGACAGCTTGAATGGTAGTTTAACAAAAATTAGTAGGCACAATACAGCATATGGCTAGCACATAAAAGAAGACAGCAATGAACACAATGATAAAGTTGTTTGGATTAAGTACATAAAGATTGGGAGATTTGGTAACACTAGGTACAGAGCAAATTTAAAGCTCAGTGTAGGAAACTACAAAGATGAAATTAGGTACTTTTTGTTTTTGTTTTTAAATGAGGCAAAAGTTTGACAGCTTTTCAATTCACTAGGGAGTGAGTTCCATAGACTAGGTCCCTTAATTTGCATAGTGTTTACACAGATTAAGTTTGACCCTGGGGATATCAAAGAGATATTTATTTCTGGTGTGGTGATAATGGGTCCTATTACATCTGTCCAG